AGGAAAGAATCGACGACGTTCATTATGTTTGTGGAAACAACCAGCATTGAGTACCTCGGACTGATGCAACAGCCGTCTTCACTTTCAGAACAATAGCACACCGAATTATGGCTGAATATCTTCCAATGCAGATATGAAAAGTATTAGTTGTGCAAAAATTTCCTATAGAAGATTTATTTGAGGCCCTTGTTAGAGACAATGAATAATTATAGAAATTCTCTTTTTCTTCGTATGAGACTGTTCGTATGTCGATGGTGTATCTATAAATATAAAATGAAAACTAATATGTATACGGCACAGGTCCAAATCTGGTTGAATTCAAAAATGAGAACATATAATGTAAATTGATTCAAAAAAAACTTTGTTTTGTGTTTCTTAAATATTTCGGAATGAAACGAGTTTCATATTTCAGGTGAAAATAATCATTTAAAGCATCCTTTTTTCTGTCAAATTATATGAGATAATACTTGAAAGAACACACAGTCATTCTAGAAAACAAACGCATGTAAATTGCTTGAATATTTTAGATATATCTGATACTAAACATCGTTTTTTTTTCAAAAATCAAGTTAATGTAATATATGTTCTTACAGAGAAAGTCTTAGTAATGAAACTATTTTCAACCTTAATTTATCTACAAAGAAAATTTGCTGATAAAAATCGCGATTTTCTTCGAAGAATTTTTCGGTAGGCATACGACTTTTCCAGGAGTAACTGCTTTCTTTTCTGTGTATTTCTGTCGCTTTCTTCTTTAACAATATCAACTAAATATTTCAGTACTAAACAAAACATAGTTTCAATCTTTGATAGTTGTATAATAATTTTAAAAGACAAAGACATTTTTTTTTCGATATCTGCCGTACAGTAATTGTTTTCAAGAACTATTCACTGTTATACTGAAACAAATGCATACAGACAATATTGATCTTGTTATTCTCATATTTCTTCTCGCTTAGTTCAATGTTCCTGTGCACTAAGCTTCTCTACTTATTGAATTTGGTTCATACTTTTTCCAATGTAGTTCAAAATGAACATGTCGTTTTTGCTTATAGATAACAATAAACATCATAAAATATTATTTCATAAACAAATAAATATTTCAAGAATTTTAAAATTAAAATAAAATAAAGTAAATAAAATCGAATTATTCTAAAAAACGTCATTATTCAAAATACATCCATTAATTCGAATAAAATAATACGGACAGTTAGTAGACTGTAGAAAGGTCTAAAAATGCTTTAGATTGTGTCTTTAGGATTGTGAGTGTGATAGCTCGACGTGCTTTGTTAAATCCACTGTCTTGAAAACCAATAAAAGGAATTCGGTAATCAATATTAAACATACCAGAAAAAATATTTGTATTCTCATTTCATGTTCATTTGGTACCATAGCTAGTGCTACAATCAAGGTTGTCGCTATGGCTATGGAGTGTGGGCCTTGTATGTTTATTCACAGCTACAAGCATGCAGAAAAAACTAAGACATATGCTTAGAATCATTGTTTATTAGAAACATGAGTTTGTTTTCGATATTTTTCTCTGTCCATTTTTTCCTTTACACCAGCTTCTCTTTTCGTCATTTTACTGCACATTAATCTGCCGATCATTTATTTCAGAGCAATTTTAATTTAATATCAAAGTTAACAGAGCACTTCTTTTTCATATGAATCTAAAAATACATTGATATATAAAAGAAGCCGTTCATTTCATTGAACAGTTATAAGTTCATACTTATGTGTCGCCTGCTAATTTTTGCTAAAAGACCATATTTTGCTCGCATCGTAAGTGTAAAATCCGGTACAATTTTTTGTCCTGGTATTATTTCAAAATTACATCGTTGAATAAACATAGCTAAGATAATTTTCGCTTCTAATAAAGCAAAATTTTGTCCAATACAGTTTCGTGGACCAATAGCAAATGGTAAATAAGCAAATGGATGAGGTAGTTTTGGTTTCAAACCTGTTTTAGGATCACGCATCCAACGTGTATAGTCAAACTGATCAGATCGAGACCATAAATCATTTCGACGATGAAGAATATAGTTATTTACAATTATTGTTCCACCCACAGGTATACGAATTTTATGTTCACTACCGATTGTATGTTCACGTATGCAATAACGGGTAAAGATTGGAGCTGGTGGATAAAGACGAAGTGTTTCATTTATTATAGCTTCACATATGACTAAATCTGAAAGATTTTCATTCGTAGGTTCTATACCATTAGGTAAAACTCTGTCGACTTCTTCTCGACAAGCTTCAAAAACATCATCATGAGTCATTAAAACATAAAATATCCATGTCATCAGATTAGCTGTCGTTTCACTACCAGCTAAGACAAAGGTAAGAGCTTGTTCTTTGATTTGTTGATCAGTAAATGGTTTGCCTTCATTATCAACAGCTGAAAGAAGTAAATCAAGTAGATCAGGACCATTAGATAGACTACTTGAATGTCCTTGTCGTCGATCAGTAATTATTTTATCAACTAATTCACCTATCATTCGACCTCCATTATCAACAATACTTTTCTTCCAGAAAGGAAGTTTTGATATAAAAGGTATTTGATTAATCATATGTAATGAACGATACAAAATAGCTTCAAGTACTGCACCAAATGTTTGACGAATAATCTCTTGAGCATTTGTAATTGTTTCAAAACCGGAGCCAAATGCACTTGATGCTATTATAGATAATGTAAGTGCACTAAAGTGATTTTGTAGATCAATTGATATTTGTTCTTGCTGATCAAGAGTTGATGTTTGAAAAAGTCTTTGCATTGATTTAGCAGTTTGATCAGTCATAATTGAAATCATTGATTTAAGATTTGTATGATAAAAAGCAGGATTAATCATATGTCTTGCTCGGTCATGTTCATAACCTTCAGCTACTAATAAATTTTGTTTACCAATAATTGGTATAAACACCGTACTAAACATAGGTGGTTTAATATAATTTTGTACATTGTTTCGACTAAACATATCGGCAAGTAAATCAGGTTCAGCAACAACGAGACGTGTTAATGGACCAAAATTAAATAAGAACATATTTCCATGTTTTTGTGCTAAACTTTCAAGATAAGCTATAAGTCCGCCAGCTTGTCGATATCGACGTATTTCACGAAGTTGACCAATTAGAGGCACAAATGGTTCACCATTAATTCCTTGTGCATGAAATATATCATAGATGGATCTCTGAGGACGAATGATTTTCAAATAGATAATAGCTATTATAACTAGGATAATAAGTACAAAGGTGTAGAATAGAATTTGGAATACCATGATAATAACAAAAGTAAAGTAATAAATCACAGTTTATCTTTTATATTCTCTATAAAAAAAAGACATTAAAGATAGGCGATGTTTTTATAATATATGTACTTTTGTTTTTCGATATCAGTTGTCCAGATTTTATGTGAAGAAAGAAAAGAAAAAATCTATATACTTATTTGAATATTTTACGTAGCATATTTTTGTGTTCTTTAATAGAAAGCGTGATCTTTCAGCAAAAAAGAGCTCCACGTCTGAAAATATTATTGAGTTAAAATATATGCTGATAAAATGATTTGTTTATTTGTCTTTTTTCTTCGAAAAACCTATTATATATTTGTATTCGAAATGTTCTTTAATCCACAGTCATATACAAATCTTTTTTATTGTTCATAGTGTTTTTCTGACAGATTGTGCCATTAAAAATGTGACTGAAAACCCTTTGAAACGTTCGAATGAAAATATTTACAATAGCCTTTATAATCTATAGTTCTGTCATCAGTATTTACATGAGTGTTCTCTTCGTATATTGGATATTGATTATCCAATCACCTTCATCTATTCATACTAGAGTTCCTCGGATTGGTTTCAGATTCATTCGAATGCGGATCTGAAGTTGCCTGTTAGGAAGGTCCAAATATTTTTAACGGAATTGACTGTAGCCGTCTAACAACGAGTAGGGTGCGCCAGTCATCGATACAAAAAAAATGAAAGAGAGTATCTGTTATCTTCGGGGTGCGTATCCTATTTCGATTAGAAAATTTCACTGAGTGTATTAAAGCTTGGCTCGACTAGGTACAACAATTTTGCATCCAAGGGGCTCTACTTGAACTGATAGTGTAGTAAAGATGGCACATTTCAGAATAAGATTTGTTCGAATTATACTATAGATTAAAAATTTTACAATATCAATCAGTCTGTCCTTTCTTTGCTGCAACACTCGCTCATCTTTCTCGAACAGAAAGGAAAAGTTTTAGATCAAGTAAATATAATACTGAATCATTGATATTGATGTTTAATTGGGACACTAATCATTTCAGTATCTACTCAGCTGAAAGTAGAACGAATAGTATCAAATATTTACTCTATAGTTTTACCTAGCAGCAGTTTGAGATATGACATTTCGTATTTCATTTGAAGAATCAATTTACTAACCATTTATTATTTTTAGATGTGGTAACTGCTGTTCATTTGTTTCTTTGAGAATCCAATAATCATTTAACTGATTACAAGTCATGGAACAATTTTTCAATTGTGTATGTAAGCCAGATTTTTTTCTAAATATTTTATTGCAAATATTTTAACCAGCATTTATTGATAAAGATAATCTTCTAAGAATGTCAAAATAAATTTCGGAATAATTAAAAAATCATAAATGTTTTATAATATGTGTAATGATATTCTTAATGAATTATAATAAGTCTGCATAAAATACAAAATAGTAATCTAGACACATCAGCATATATTGTTATTCACTGAACATTATTTATTAAGCATCCATAGACAACAAAAAGAAATTTCAATATTGATATTCGAATTCGAAGTGTTGTCTACATAAATATCCATCCACATCTAACGTTTAGTAATGTTGGCTAAAAGACCATATTTAGGGCGCATTGTAAGTTTAACCTCGGGTATTATTTTTTGGCCTGGTACCATTTCAAAATTACATCGTTGAACGAACATAGCTAAGATAATTTTCGCTTCTAATAAAGCAAAATTTTGTCCAATACAGTTTCATGGACCAATCGCAAATGGTAAATAAGCAAATGGATAAGGTAGTTTTGGTTTCAAACCTGTTTTAGGATCACGCATCCAACGTGTATAGTCAAACTCTTCTGATCGAGACCATAAATCATTTCGACGATGAAGAAGATAGCTATTGACAGTTATTGTCAAGGGGGAAACAACTGACTTTATGACTTAAATGATCTAAGTGATCTAAATGACTTAAAGTCATAAAAGTCAGTTATTTCCCCCCTTAGTTTGCCTTCATTATCAACAGCTGAAAGAAGTAAATCAAGTAGATCAGGACCATTAGATAGACTACTTGAATGTCCTTGTCGTCGATCAGTAATTATTTTATTAACTCACTCAGTTATCATTCGAGTTCCATTATCAATAACCTTCTTTTTCCAAAACGGTAATTTTGGGAGAAGTGGTAATAAATTGATCATATACATTGAACGATATAGAATAGCATCAAATACGTCAGCAAATACTTGACTCATAACATATTTAACATTAACATCTGCTTCAAAATCTGAATCAAATGCTGTCGATATAATTATTGAAAGTATAAGAGTATTGAAAAGAATTGGCAGATCAATTGATTGATCCGTTTGTTCATGATAATTTTTTTTTGTAAATATTGATTGAATAGTTTTTCTTGTTTGATCGGTCATAATTGAAACCATTGAGTTAAGACTCGTATGATAAAAAGCAGGATTAATCGTACATCGTGCTCGTTCATGTTCATCACCTTCAGCTACTATTAAATTATGATTTCCAATAATGGGAGCTAAGATAGTTTGAGCAGCTGGTGATTTCGTATAATTTCGTACATTTTTTCAATCAAGTATGTCAGCAAGTAGATCAGGTTCATTAATCATGAGATGGACTACAGGACCAAAACAAAACGCATATATATTTTCCATGTTTTTTAATTAATTTTTGATGATAACTCATAGGTGAATCGAATTTTCGACATCGACGAATTTGTGGAAGTTGTTCGATCAATGGTACAAATGGTTCATCGTTAACACCTTGTTCACGAAATATAACATATAAACGTTTTTCAGGACGAATAAGTTTGTAATAAATAATTACAAATATGAGAAAAAATAAATGTTATACATGTATAGAGTAGAATTGGTAATACCATTATGATATTATAAAGCTAATGTCAGCATTTTGGTTTTATGAGTTACTGACAAGTATACAATATGACTCATTGTTGTTTTTTTATCATAGATGTTTGACGTTTTCTATCAGCTACATTGACATAAGATTAACTTTGTTATTATCATTAAGTTTTACTCGGAGAACTTTCATTTTATTAACGTAATAGCCATCCGCACTGTAACTTCTCATGTGCGCTCCTATGAAGCGCACAGAGAAGTTTCGATAAAATGTCTCCATCGTTAAGAGACTACATTATCCGACACTCATCCATATACCCGTCTGATAACATGCTGACTACATTATGACATAGACTTGTTCTTATTGCTAGTATATAATGAGGGATCTCAAGCAATTGAGCACAAGAACTGCATTATGCCCAGCTTTTGTTCGAGCAGATTTCTTCTAATTAATTGGGAACCCACTCAGGCCCGAATCCGAAAAACTTGGACCTTGCCAACTTTACTTCATAGCTGCAGTTAGTATTAGTTGTGGAAAAGAGATCGGACTATTGAATGTGTCACTAGGGAGTACTCCATACCTCAAGGCAACTGAAAAACAAGGACCTTCTTCTTAATTCTTCTTCTTCAGTACGGCTACAATAAGCTTGAAAGCGTTCATTTCCATAGGCGCTATTGCAGCCGAGTTATCGCTGTTTTACTGAATTTTCGAGTCATTTTTAGGTATGTACTAGAAACTCAAATAATAGAATTTCGATCTTGCGATTTCGCCCATAGATAAGGTTAATAAAACTTAGAATATCCTGAAAGTATTAATCAAAAGAAATATTTCTTTGTTGAGCTATTGAATTTTAAAGTCAACACAATTTTTACGACATATCCATGGCGTATGACTTTTCCTTGAGAATTCTATATATTGACAAAGACAAGAAAACATTGTTTTCAGTTGAAGCTTGTACGATGTTCTGAAGATCATTTGATCTATCTCTATAAACTGAATTTCAGTTCGAAATTTTTTTATTTAATATTTCAGTCAATATCTCAAAACATTTCGAAAACTCACTGAAAGAGTCATAAATTAGCTCTAGAAAGTTATAAGCATGAGACTTTTTGAAACTTTTTTAGTCTTACTAAAATCTTCTTATAGTTCCTACATATAAGTTCAAATTTGGATAGTTATCTTGTAAGAGTTTAAAAAAATGATTTTTATTTAGTTTTGTTTACAGTTTAGAAAGAAAAAGACGAAGAACAAGAAAGCAAAAAGAAAAGAAATTAGTTCTATATGATCACTACTTTTCTCTATTGTTTTTTTAGTCTTTTGGAATAAACAGTAAAATATTCCATTAATTATTGGTAATCGATTGAATTGATCGATGAATATCATTATATCGTTGTTGTTGATACTTGGAATAGAAATAATCTGTATTCATTCTGTTTGTTTCATAACAGAAAACAGTCTGAAATAAGAACATATAACTTTTTATATTTAAAAAAATCTATACGAAAAAACAAATATATCATACGAAAAATATCAGAGCAATAACCAAAATAACCGAAATTATATTCCAAATTAAAGCATAACGTGAATAACGTCGAGCTTTATCATGAAAATTTACATCAGCTTTAGCCGAACTTTTTAATGAATAAGCCAATGCAATAAGACCTTCGAATAAAAATTTAATTAAATAAAACTTAAAAAAACAATTATTCTTTTTACCTGTTGCTGGACATAAACAAATACTTGAAATAAGTGAAAATATAAAGTAATGATGAATTCGTTCTTGTTTTGGTTGTATACGAATTGCCTCACTAACTAGAACTGCTGAAGATGATGTGACTATATTCAAATACAAATTTTTAATTATAAATAATATGTTTTAATTTTATTTTTACTGTCATTGAAATTTTTCTTTTCATTAGAAATATCCATGTTAATATTTGTCCGTCTTTTTTTTATGTATGAGTGATTTATCTGTCTTGTGAGAAAAGAACACCCTACGTATGTGAACTTGAACTGAATTATGGAATATGATTGGTGTCTCCAACGAGTAGAACCAATAGAATTGCTTCGTTTTGTTTTTATTTACACTTTATATCAATTGCCTTTAGAGCAATCAAGCAGAAAAAAATGTGTACTTTGTCTAATGGAGAGAGAGAAAATGACTGAAAAAAAAGTAATATGCACAGAGTTGATTCTACGGACATCTGTTTAAAGCGAAGGATCGATTAATTATATGTGATTGGTTAAGATAAGAGACCTTCAACTTTGTATAATATTTGCACGAGTAAATAATATTTCTGATCGTTCAAAGAGAAAATGCTTTGGAAAATAAATAAATGATAATTATGATTGATTTTATGTAAATACTCTATTAAAATAATCCAGATTTGTAATGAATATCGAATAAATAAATAATATTTTTCTTTGTTATTAATTACAATATGGAACAATAGATCTCCTTACGAACCAATATTATTCTCTGAGAAACAGATTATATATACTTCCATAAAAGGAAAATCTTATTTTCTATACTAATTTCAGAATGTCTCTTGTTCTTCAAAATATCATTCGTCGATGTCCATCGACAATAATTACCAAAGGTTTTTTTCGTTTTTGGTCATCAAATGGTCAATTTCCTTCACATCCAATGGGTACAGAAGAATATGAAAATCAACCTCGTAAATCTCTTACTGAATTACCTGATGAATTAACTGAACATGAAGATAAACCTAAATTTATTTCTGAATATGAAACAACAAAAGATGGTTGGGAATGGGTAGATAATGTTCTTTTTAAATCTAAAATACCTGAACCACCTAATCATTCAACTCCATCAGGTTGGATTCCACCTAATCCAACACTAGCTCGTCAATGGTCATATTTTGTTGATCGAGATCGTTTTCATTCATATGCACTTTATGTACGTATATTACCTGTTATGCTTGAATATTGGCTACATGAACAACATCGTTATTATTTAAATATATTTCGTCGTCGTGTTGAATATGATATATATGCACAACGAACAAGACGTTTTAGTTTACTTGAATTAATATCAGGTGATATATGGGCATTAGATCATGATTTAAAAAATTATTTAACTAAACGTGTAGAATTAACAAATGATAAATCAAAAGAATTACCTATTTTATCACAAGTTGATGAAATTAAACGACATATACTTGTTGATGGAGAATATGAAGAATGGATAGCAGATTTTTTAAAAGAAAAAGGATTTTGATTGATAAATAAAATTGCATAGACAAAAAAAAAAATAATGTTAGAATTCTGTTGTGTTTTCTAGATTAATGATGTATTTATCATATCATAATACATTAAAATTTTTATGTGCAATACAACCAAAAGTTAGCAAATTTGTTGTTCGAACCTTAGCTACTCCTTTTCGATCGAAACCAATTGAAAAAGCAAACGATGCTCATTCTAATTTATTAACAAATAGTGAACATGTTTTTGAAGTTCAACATCATACTGTTAAACCAAGTGCAATGGTAAATAAATTTCTTTTTAATTTAATTAGAATCAAATCAAACTTAAATGAAAATTAAAAGTTCCAGATAATCATCAAGGTTTTTTTTCGGCTTATTGATTATTATATGAGATTAATATGCTTAAAAAATGTACATAGTATATATCCATGAAAACCTTTGAACTCATTTTAATTATTTTTCGAATTTTGTACTTATACAAAAGTAGACGAGAAAAATGATTGGGATTGTATAAATAACGAAAATATTAACTTCAACTTTTATAGTGCCGTTAGAAGGGCAGGTATATTTTTTTATAACTTAACATTCAAAGGCCTCGAATAAAAGCGAAAAAGAAAAAAAAAAAACATTCTATTTTTACACGTTTAATTGCAACCACAACAGAAAGTATGTCTAAAAGTGTCATATAAACAGTATGAAACCTCTTCAAAAAAGAAACTCAACAAAAATAATAACACATTGAGTTGTTTTTCTATTACTTATTTAACACTTTTCTATAAAAGTTTATTAGTTACATTGATCTGAATTTCTAGAACATGTAAATTTATTGCCTATATTAACGAATTTTGTAATCGTTAGAAATGAAAAAAAAAAAAAATATGCACTTTCAGTGCAGCCATCCTAAGGGCAAGATTTAAAGCACATGATTCTTTCAACAAGCAGCATACACATATACAACAAAATGTAATTCGTTTAGAATGACTATGAATTAGTTTTTAATGATTATACATCACAATTAATGGAGAAATATTCTTCAACTGGTCTTGTTCATACTGGATCATGGAAAGTACATATTGGTAATGTACAAAATCAATATGTACATATATGGATGTATAAAAATTTTGCTCATTTGGATGAATTTATTGATAATTCAAAACTAAAATTAAATTCAAATAAATTAAGTGAACATGTTATTAAACATTCAAATCAAATTTGTCTTCCATTTTCTTATTTTGGTTCGAAAAAAAGAAACAAAAATATTTGTTTTTTTTTTCCTTCAAGTTCTCTTTTGTTTCTTTAAATATAGGAATTCCTCAACCACGATCAAAATCTGATGATCAATCACATCCAAATATTTATGAAATGCGTTCATATTGGCTTGTGCCAGGTACATTAATTGAATGGGGAAATTTATGGCATAAAGGTGTACAATATCGACCTGATGCAAAAGTTCTAGGTGTTTTTTCGCAAATTGGTGATCTTTACAATGTTCATCATATGTGGTCATATCAAAATTTTCAACATCGAAAACAAATGCGTACAAATGCATGGGCTAAACCGGGTTGGTCAGAAAAGTATGTTTCAACACATCTAATTTCTTTCTTTTCTGAAAAATAACCTAAAAGGAATGTTGAAGTATGGAAGTAGGACTTTGGACTTATTCACAGTCGTGACAAATATCTTAGTAATACTTCACCCAGAGATGGAACCAGTCAGACCGGACTGAAACAGTCAGTACACTGTTTCGACCGATCGGTCTCCAGTGCCGGTTCTATCCCTTCTCCCAAGTCACAAATTGCGACAGATGTCTTAGTAACACTTCCCCAACGATGAAACCGGTCGGTTATTTTCGCAACTGGTATCGGTACAAAATTCATCTCTACTCCCTACAACATAACGATCACAGACTGTATATGAATAATACCTCGCTATAATAACATGAGCTACTTATATATTAAGTTTCTGAAGAAAGGACGATGAAGAAATGCATCACAAGATAGATAGAATAAAACAATGTCTATGTGATTACTAGCGGCAATTATCTATATCATTTTTCATATTTTAATCTCGCGAAGATTATGTTAACAGCTTTTTTTTTTGATAAAAAATATTTTCTTTTCTATTTTGTTATTTAGTGTTGAATATACAACTCGATTAATTCGTAAAATGGAATCAAAAATACTTGTACCATTAAAGAATTCACCAATGCAATAAAGAAAGAAGTATTATTGAAAAGAAATATGCATGTTAGACAAAAAAAAAATAGTGGTTAAGCAGTGATGTTGCAATTTCAATTATTTAATTATTTCTTTTTTCTAATGATTAAAAGACAATTACTTATTCAATATGATTAAAATGTATTATAAGTTTGTTCTATTGTTCTTTCTTTTTGTTTTAAGATTGTGAATTTTATAAAATATATTGGTATGGCTGAAGCAGAAAAAACACCTGCTGTTAGTGTATCATCTAGTCAATTACCTAGAGAAAAAAAACATTCAGAGGCTGAAGCTCTTGAAGAGGTAAGCAAATATTTATTTCGATTTATAATTTTTTTTCTTTTATTGAATAGACATAGAGATTTTTGCAGGTAGTTACATTAGATTCTGTCTGACTATTAATCTAATTATTGTGTATCATGTATACAGATATTTCTCAAATAGGTAATTATTGATATCGTAGTCATATTTCTGCTGTCACGAATATTACACATAGGTTCTTTGCTAAAAGAACAGATTTCCTATGTTAAGGAAACATTTTATCAAAAAAAAAAAATTGATTTATCATCAAGCTGCTTTTGTAATATTTTTGTTTGTATTGAAAATAATAATTTTTGCAGTACCATCCTCGCCTGAGCGCAACATCTATAAGTGACATACAATTCAAGACAAAAGTAAATACATCCTAACACTAGTGTTTATTAGTCTAATTTTCAAGCTTCCATTTGAAATTGAAAGAAACACTGTGTGATATGCAATAACTTTTTCTGTTTTTTTCTTAGCCACTTACATCTCATATGCCATAGTATTATTATTATTATTTTGTTTTTTTTTTCTTCTTATGTATTTATTTATCATAACAAGTAATCCCTTTTCATTCTTGTGTATTATATATTCTATAATTTAAATATTTATAATTATAAGCAATCATGCATATGACATAAAAGAAAATGCGATTATTTGATAGGAAATATCGAATAATTATGAAAAATAACACAATGAAATTATACAAATTATGAATCGATTCATTGAACAGACGCAGAAAATCAATCGGTATAAAATTTAAAAGTAGATAAATACTGTCATCGAGCATCTTTGCATTTTTCTTATCATAATATATTCATTAATCTTTTATCGCTTATATATCAGCTCAACAGACAATCAAAATTTTGGCCTTAATCTAATAAATATATATATATTCTGTATAGAGTGATAAACTTGGTGAACTTCGATCAGATTTTCTTAGTTCAAGTCCTGAAACGTCATCACCATTATCCAATTCTCCATTCAGTAAATATCGTGGTTCAGTGGCATGGGTAGAAGGTTTTGAACGAAAGCTTCATGTTCTTACTAAAGATCAATACCCCGGACGTGCTATGGGTGTATTTACAAGTGGTGGAGATGCACAAGGTATACATTTGCTTTATACTATATTGAGAACGAATGATCGAAAATTTTTTAAACAAGATGTTTGCTCACTTTAGATCCTTTAGAAAATATTTTCCACGAGTCAATAGCTATGAATTTGTTCTCTTTTTCGAAATGGATTCAGACATTGTGTTTGAGTAGTGAAATAATCTTGGAAAAGTCCGGAAAATTAGTTTAGACAGAAAACTTCTATAAAATTCACTATTTTTTCTTTTTCGAAAAGTCACCTCAATTTTCTTTTTTTCTTGTAAATACATTTTTTGAAATACCGACAACTACTTTACCTTTGAAAGAAGCTCTTGAAAAACTGCTTGGATAAAAGCTATAGCTTAGTGCAATATCACATTTTATAGAGAATTATCGGTTCTACAAAACCGTCGAGTCCAACAATTTCCAGCATGTTCGAAAAGGGCCTTATCGAATAAATAAAACCTGTTGGCTCATCATGAAAAATAAATTTTTAGATTTACTAAAGTGTTTCTCACTAGTTTTGCATAAATATAGACATAACATTTCTAAGTCTATATTCAAATTCTGATTTGAAAACTATACTGAAATGCTTTGAAGCAGGTCAAAATGAATAAACGTATTCATCGGAAACGTTATCTTAAGAGTTCTATCCAAACTAATGTTTTTTGAGCTTTTCAAAGATTATATCATGTTTATTTTTATACTTTTCAAACTACAATGACTTCGATATTTTTCGGCCTTTACTCAATTTAGCTCATTTGGGTGTGTTTGAATGGGCGTGTTTCCTCTATCTACACTTAAAAGACTTAATGGACTAAAACAACCAAAAACTTTTTACAGATTTAAAGATCGAGTATGTAAGCACAAACGTAAAACGTAATACATTTGATTTCTCATGGACGAATAATACCACTCTTCTTGAATGAAAAATAAGATATCTATATTCGAAAAGAGCACACATTCATGGTTTGGACTCGTCGCAAATACTTTCTAGTGAACGAAAAGTAAAACAAATACATTGTTGAAAAACTTTCAAATTACTCATTATATGAAAATATTATAAAATTTTATATTATTTTAGGAATGAATCCAGCCGTTCGAGCTATTGTTCGTATGGGTATTTATCTTGGTTGTAAAGTTTATTTCATACATGAGGTTAAATGATTATATCTATTTGATAGAATTGAATAATTTGAAATTTTTGTTTATTTTTATTGCATAGGGTTATCAAGGTCTAGTCGATGGTGGTAATAGTATTCGTCAAGCAACATGGGCAGCAGTTTCTGGAATTATTGATGATGTAAATAGATTTAAATTTTTTGTGTTTTATTTTAACTCTTTGGCTATGAGAATATCATATATGATATTCTCATAGCCAAATAAATAATAGAATGATTTTA